GACAGTTGATTTACATGGTGGGCAGGGCAAAAAAGGTAACAATTCCTATTAGTGCAGTGATTCTTGCCATGAGAGTAAAGACACGTGGCATGTTTAAGGGCCAGGCACGGCAATGATTTGCCTAGCTTCTGAAAACATTAACAGACAATAAAGCATATGATGGTTGATGAACGATCGCAAAATCAATAACATCTGTTAACTCCCCATTCCCCACGCTCGACAAGCAAAGCAGGAGAAAATCCCTCTGTCTCTGAACAGGTGCATTTAATCCATTTACATTCAGTGTAATTATTGATAGGTATTGATTAATTGCTGCCATTGTTTGTTTTTTGTGGTGTTGCTGCTTCTTTGTTCTATGTGTCTTCCTTTGTTGAGTTCATGCTTTTTGTGTTATTTCTGGTGAGTTTCCTCATAGTTTTAATGTTTCCATGTTCTTGGATTTTCATTTTCTTGGTATGTTGTGACATATTAATTTTCTTTGAGGTTGCCTTATAGTCCATTAACTTTTCTCTCCATTTAGTGCAGTCTATTTTATCCTGTAATTGACCTGATCTTCTCACTATCTGGATCTCTGTTCCTACGTGTTTACCTTCTTTCACATTGTACTTGTTTTGATCATAGACTGATCTCTCAGATTCTCTGAGTTTGTTCTTATAGTTTTGGTCTGTTCTCAACTCTTCCTTCTGTTGACTTAATTTAGGGTGATGCTGCCACGTATGTCAATCTCTGGTTGTTATCTGTTCTTGTTGGTTCTCAGTCCACAGAACTCCCTTTAGGATGTTTTGTAGCGCAGGGTTGGCTTTGGCAAAATCCCTTAGCTTCTGTTTATCCTGGAATTTTTTTTGTAACACCGTCATATTTGATTGATAGCTTTGCTGGATAAAGGATTCTTGGTTGGCAATTTTTGTCTTTCAGGGTTTTATAAATGTCTCCCCATTGCCTTCTTGCTTGCATGGTTTCTGCTGAGAGATCTGAGCTTATTCTGACTTGCTTGCCTTTGTATGTGACACTTCTGTTTTCCCTGGCTGCTTTCAGAAGTGTCTCCTTATCTTTGATTTTGGAGAGCTTGTCTTGGTGATTTTCTTTTGGGGTCTTTCCTTCCTGGGGTTCGTTGAGCTTCTTGAATGTTTATCTTTTCACTTTTCAGGATGTTAGAGAAATTTTCTTTCAGGAGTTCTTGAACTATTTCCCCTGTGGACTTGTGTGATTTTTCTTGTTCTGGAATACCAATAATTCTTAAGTTATTCCTCTTCATGTTGTCCAACATGAATCTTAGATTTTCTACAGAATTTATCCTTTTTCGTGTTTGTTCTTCTGTCTTAGTGGTATTGAGAGATTTGTCTTCCAGCTCACTGGTTCTGCCTTCCATCTCATCCATCTCATCTATTCTACTCCTCTGCCCTTTCAGAGTGTTCTCTATTTCTGTTATTTTGTTATTGATTGTTTGGACCTCTTTCTGTAGGTTTTGAATTGTTTCCAATGCTATATCTATCGTATTTGATTGTTCCTGTTGCACTTTCCTGGCTTCTTCCTTATGTTTCTCAACTCCATTGTAAAGTGTTTTGAAACATTTTATGATCATTTTTCTGAATTCCTTCTCAGGCATTTCCAAGGCCTGCCCTCCTTCCAGAATGGAGTTCAGGTCTACTTCTAGGTCATTTGTCTCAGACAATCTTGTTTCTGGACATGTGCTGATAAGGTCATCTGCTTTTGCTTCTTGGACATGATTAGTGTTTACCTATGGCCTTAATACTTGAGTATGTGTTTTGGTATTTTTTTATGCTCTCTGATTGCTTCCAGGAAGATTTGATCAGGATGTAAGCTTCTCTTTTCACTCTTCTTATTGTTTAACTTTCACAGTGTGGTCTGTTTCCCTGCTATATGGCAGTTGGTATTGGCTGGGTTTTGGTGTTTTATAGAGTGTGATTGTAGGTTGGCTGTATGGCAGCAGTTGCTGACTCTTCTTGTGTAATATAGGGAGACAAAGAGTCCTCCAAAGGCAGAAGGGGGGGCATATAACAGCCAAACACCACCAGCGAAAGAAAAAAAAAAAAAAGACTGAAAAACAGCAAAACAGCAACAACAAAAACAACAAAAATAAGAATAAAAAAGAAAAAAATCTGTTGCCTAATATGAGCTCTCTTTCCCTCCCTACAGCCCTCTCCTTGTCTTTCCCATGTTAAAAAAAAAACAACAACAACAACAACAACAAAAAGCAAACAAGAAAAGTTCAAGGCTTGCTCTTGGGCTGAGTATCTGTTGGCCGTTTGGTTTTAAGTGGAAACTGTCTTTTTAAATTTCGAGGAGATCTGTGCGCATGCGTAGTAGAACCCTCTGAGGGTGGGGCTGGGGTGCCCACTAGCTCAGGCACCCCTAGTCACCAGAATGGAGGTGTGCAGACAGCAAGGGACCAATGAACTGCTACCAAAAGAAAAGAATGTCCACACCTTTATCTCAGCGGTTCTGCCAGGCATCTATGGCCGCTCCGATCCTTCCCCACGTGGTCTCACCCAAGATGGCGGCTCCTGGAGCAGCCGAGCGTCCCGGACTAGAAAGCAATAGATTTCTTGCTTCTGCCACAAATTCCCCCAGCTGTGAGCCTTCCAACCTTCTAACTATTCCTTTGTATGTGGTTCAGAGTTCTGGGACCAGCCCCTGAGCCTGCTTGGTCCTGTATTCTGTGTTGTTCCCAGCACAGCTTGTTACTGCACTTCTACCCACTAAGTTTTGTTTTTGTTTTTTTGTTTTTTTTTTTGAGAAGATTCATTAATGCTCCTGGTGGTTGTCCTGTGATTTATTCCTTTTTCTTCTTCCCATAGTTAAAAGTCTAGTTGACTTCTGCATTTGGAAGCTCTGTTACTACATTCTTTATCTCTTTTTTACTTTATAATTATCTTCATTATAAATTATGTCTCTGGTTCCCAATTCCCAGTCTTTTTGGGTTATTTTACTTTGTGTGGATCAAGAAGAAAAAAAGAAAAACAACAGCAAGAAAAAATATTTAAAAAGACAAGGAAGGGGAAATAAAAATAAAAATAAGGGAAGTAAAATTTTTTAAAAACCTACAACAAACCTAGGGAGGGAAAAGAAACAAATAGTAAAGAATCAAGAGAAGAAAAATAAGCAAAGAAAATCCTCAGACTAGAAAGGCAGAGAAAGGAGAGGGGATAAGTAAAACGGGGAGAGAAAACTGGGGCTGGCACCTGCTCAAACCAAGTGAGCGCATGAGATCTGGGAAGGGTCCTGGTTGGGTGTCCTGATGGCTTAGATGTTGTCTGGGTTCAGGACACCTGATCGGGAAGTAGCTCTTGTCTACTCAGAGCATGGCTGAGGTCAGGGTCCTTACTCCCGAAAGGGGGTCCCACAGGGTCACTGGGACAAGACAGCTGTGTATGGAAGGTGTTCCTACTTGTTTAGGGCTGGTGCGGACCTGAGATACAGGTCTGTGTGTTTTGCTGGTTTGATGGTGTTCACATGACTCCAGATCTTGGGGCGTTCCACCTGGCACCTGATCCGTGAAGGCATGGCTGTGACTTCGGCCAGAGTGATGTCACCAGCCACTGGGTGAGTGAGGGGAAGTAGGGGGGATCTTACCTTTCTCTTCACTAGCCACCGGTGTGTGTGTATCGTGAGGCTACTGACTCAATCACAAGCTGCTGTATCAGGCCAACCAGAAATTCACCTGCCTCCTCTCTTGCTAGTCAGCCATTCACCCTCTTGTCCCTGTTGGTGTTCCGTCCACTTCTGTCTCCTTTCCACTGAAGCTCAGGTTCCACGGTTAGCATTCGTCTTTTTGCATTTAGTCTCTGAAATCTTAGTTGTCAGACTCCTGGAGTGGTGCTGTAGGATCCAGTACTGGACTACGAATCACAAGGTCTGTACTTCAAACCAACCAGGGTTAATGTGCTGGACTGCAGAGTCGGTTTGAACTTGGAAAGCCTATCGGGGTTTCTATGGGTCAAGAGCCTACTCGATGGTGGCTCTTAACAAGCAGGCCTGCTTGGCTCCGAGGGAGACCTCCCAGGACGGTGCTAGGCCTGTGGCTGAACCGCCCCCACCACCCATCTCGGCTCCTGTCCAATCAGAGGCAGGAGTCCGGAAAGGTGGTGGGGGCTTGTCCTGGAATACAGGACCGCGCACACGTACGTCTGTGGCCCCGCCATTGCCTGGGGTGGGGTGGGGTGTCGTGGGGATCACAGGTGTACCGAGAGCATTTTAATTAATTTATTTATTTCTTTACACATAACTGAAAGTGATGTTACAGTACATAAGTTATTTACAACTGTGCAGTAATGTGTTGCAAAATAAATTATCTAGAAGGCAGCAAAAGTACATTGTGAATGTGTAGAAAACTGTACAGCGTTTACGGGATACACTTTTATATGATTATTGGCTCTGTAGTGTTTCAAGTTAGGTTCTCAGAAAGAGAAACAAAATGCCCAAGATTAAAGGAAAAATATACAAACCACGTGGATTTGACTCCATATTAAAAACACAATCGGAAGAGTCCTGGCTCTGTCCCACCAGTGCTGGGTGGGCGGGAGTGCACTTGGACCCTCCGCTTAGCCCAGAAGCCTTAGGTTTCGCCCGCCTCCCCCAACCTCGAGGTCTTTGTCCACGCGAGGTGGTGCCTTGGTGTGTCCTGTAGTCGATCAGAATGGAACACGGATCTGAGAGCGCTGGAGACAAGGAGCGCCATGATGTCCGTGTCTCACCCGCCCCTCATGTCCCTGTCATCACGGCTGGTGGCTGAACAAAAGTGCAGTCTCCCCTCGGCTCTGCCTCCCGACGCCGCGCGCCCGCCCGCCTCCTTGCAGCCCGGCCGTCAGCACCGCGGGCACCCTGGAGGCCGTGTCCTGGCCAGCCCGTCGCTGCGTCACGCCGGCAGCAGCACGAAGTCATCGTTGACATCGACCATGGGCACGTAGAAGGAGGGCACCTCGTTCACACACAGCGACTTGTGCCCGGCAGGGTCCAGCTCCTGTACCTTCAGCTGCCACTCCATCCTCTGCACAGCGTTCAGTGCCGCCGCCTCGTGCTGTTGCCGCATCAGGAGACACGTCTGTGGACAGACAGACAGACAGTACAGGGAGGGGCTGACCTGGACCCCTAGTGCTCAGCAGCCCTGCCGCCGCCTTAAAAGGAGCTACTAGGAGTCCTGGGATGGTGCTGTGGGTTAATGCACCAGACTGCAAAGCCGTTTGATTTGCAAGGTTGGTGGTTCAAGCTCACCAGCTGCTCCTTGAAAACCCTATCCAGGCTCGCTATGGGTTGGAACCGACTCAGCAGCACTTCACAACTACACAACAACAACTAGCATAGTGGCTTGTTTGGTTGGCAGTTCAAACCCAGCAGCTGCTCCATGGGAGAAAGGTGTGCTGGTCTGCTGTTGAAAGAGAAACACTGGAGAGCAGGCTGGGCCCCACAGGGTGGCTCTGAGTCGCAGGCAAGACGATTCATTTTAAAGAGTAACGAGCCGGCACAGAACAGTGGCAGTTTTAGCATGGAGTCCCCGAGGAGTTGGCTGCCGCTGGCGGGGTACACCCAGGACTCGCCTTCCTATGGGGCCTTGAGATGTGTCCTAGACAAAGGTCGGGAGGGAGTCCAGAGTGGCTCTTGAGATCCTCCTTTCATGAGAAGGACCTGGAAGGAATGCCTGGCCAAACTGGGGACAGTTTGGGGTACTTTAAAACCCACAACACCCAGAGCATTACGAACCTCAGCGCAGACAGCAGAAGGACTGAGTCTGCGCATGCTCACACTCTGGGGACGGGGGACAGTGGGGACGGCTGTCAGAGTAGAAGAACCTGTATGAGGGGCCAGTCTCGTGTCTATAAAGTCAGTCTGTGGGCACTCATGCCTCCCATTACTCTGTAGTGGCTTCTGGTGTGACAGTTGTGACAGAGACAAACCATGTGTGCTGGTCCTGCCCTGCTCTCAGGACAGATGGGAGTCTGACGAGCCTGGGAAATGCTACACTGACTGAGGGGTTGGTGGACTGGCGTGGGGTCCAATTCCCTCTAAAAACGTTGATGCTTGCTGTCAGTGAAGCAGCCCCAACCCAAGCAATCCCGTATGTGTGTGTGTGTGTGTGTGTGTACACCAAGTTGGTCGCCAGCCCTGCCTTCCGAGCACCTCTAAGTGGGCTTCAACTGCCTCTACTTTTCAGCCTCTACTTTAGTAGCTTTAACTCCACCACAGAGCAATTCCCTCTTCAAACTTCCATGGTTGGCTGGTGGCAGGTGGTGCCAGGTGGGGTTGTCTGTGTCTTCCCCATGCATACACTGTCCCTCAGGGCTCCCTCTTGTGATTTCTGGTCTGCTGCTCCCTGTACATATTTCTAGATGATAGTTTTTATGTTGTAAATGAGGACAAGTGACATTTTCCAAGTTGTGTGGAACGATAGGATCAGCACTGGATTGCTAACCACAGAGTCGGTTTAAACTGCAATGTGAGCATTTCAAGCCCACCAGCTGCTCCTTAGGAGCCCCATTATATAGGTTGCTATGAGTCAGAACCAACTTGATGGCACTTTTTTGACTGTACCCTGACTACCAGAAGAACGAACAAATTTGTCCTGGGGAAGTATAGCCAGAATGCTGTATAGAAGAGAGGATGTGATATAAGGGGTCTTCTGAAAGACTGTAGAAATGCCATTTTTCCATGAACTTTTTGAGCAGTCCCTGGAAAAGGAAACCACGGTTAAAGTAGGTGGTCAGCGAAGAAAAGGAAGACGCTCAGGGACGTGACTTGACATAGTGGCCTCCAAGATAACAACTGTGCGGGTGGTACAGGCACGGGCGTGTTCCACACTGCGGTGCATGGGGGGGTCAGGGCTGCTGTCCCTCCGAGCAAGGCTGTGCTGTTGGCAGTGGTCCACAGCCGCCGCCTCTGGCCTCTCACCAGGGACCCCGCACGAGCTCCGTGGGACATCTTCCTGGAAGGCCCAGCATTTCCTGGCCATTCTCTTCCATCTTGTTGTCCTTTTGGTTTGCACGCTAAGAAACGAATGTTCTGTGGCATGTTTAATGTGTTCCTGTTAAGTGCTGTTGTCGAGTCGGTTCTGACCCATAGCAACCCTGTACAGGGTTTCCGAGGAGCAGCTGGTGAGCTTGCACTGCCGACCTTGCAGTCCTTTAAGGGCTTTGCAGTCTGGCGCGTTAAGCCACAGCGCCACGCCAGGACTCCACGAAGAAACCCTGGTTCCTGCCTTAGGTTCTTGTTCTCGTGTCAGGAAGAAGCGCTGGGGGTGAACGCAGGCCTGCTGCTCTCCTCTCAGTGTGGCCACACGGTAAAGTGGAGCTCAGGGATTGTCCTGTGCCTTTGAGGGCCAGGACCTCTCTTGAGAGGTCTGTTCAGGAAGCAAAGGCACTAACTAACCTTCATGCGGTCGTACTTGTCGTCCACATCCTGCAGCCACGAGATGAACTGACGTGCGTTGAACCGGTCTCGCACCGACTTGTTCTCGTCCCCCTGTGGGAGAAGTCAAGCACTGAGCTTTTATAGGGAAGCTCCTCCCACAGCTGGGGGCGAGGGGGGGTGGGCGTCACAAGAGACCTGGTGGCCTCCTGGTGTGGCCAAGCCCACCTTTTGTTTTACACTGAAACCTGCCAAGCGGGGCCATCAGGGCAGCCAGCAGAACAGGGGGGTGGATGGGGTTTGTGCGTTTCCTGCTCTAAGCTCACCTGGCTCTCCAGGGGCATGTTGTAGACCTCTGAGTCCAGCAGCATGGTGCAGGCGCTGAAGGGCACCGCTTGGTTTGCAATGGTCCTCGCCGCCCGGCAGTGTACCCGCAGGATCTCCTGTTCACAGGACACGATCAGCTTCTCCTGGAGGGAGGAGAGTGGGTGAGCCTGGACGCGGTGTGGCTGCGTGGCACCGTGCCCAGGGCCCTGTGCGCCTTACCCGCTCGATGCTGTGTTGCAGGCGTAGCTTCCCACGCACAGCCTCCTGCTGCTTGAACAGCTCCTTGAGGGGCTCCGCCAGGGATGGAGGGGGCGCGATCTACAGGCAGAGGGGGAGTTGTCGGTGGACCCAGGTCACACCTTGCCCGCACTAGTGAGCGAGCAGGTACTGCGGTCCACGTGGTGGTGCTGGCCTTCCTCTTTCCAGGCGTGAGGCCTAGCTCTCAAGACCGAGACACCCCCACCCAAAGGAAACACCACCTCAGAGAAGAAAGCCCGCGGTCACCAGGCGGGTGTGTGGCCAGCCTAGGAAGTAAGATCAGGCGTGCTGAGCAGTAGAGGTTCCCGGGGGCTCTCACTGGGTACAGCGGGGTCTGGGTCTGGGGACTCACCACTGGGATGTGAAGCTTGCTTAGGGGTTTGCCGTCCAGGAGGTAGGAGCCAGTGTAGGTGACGTACTCGGCGTAGCACTGGGGGGCCTGGGGTGTGATGTAACACAGGATCTTGCGCTTCTCCTCGATCTTCTTGCGGATCTGCAGGTACTCGAAGTAGGGGTTGGCCCTGTCACTGTGGTAGGGTTCAATGGCATCCAGTTTGATGGCGTCCACAATGGCGGCCAGCGTCTGCTGGATCATCTCCCGCGTCTGCTGCGTCGACGTGTTCATCTGCTGCTGCAGCTGCTGGCTGGAGCGCTGGAAACGGCGCTTGCGAGGGTGCTGGGCCTGGGCATCCTCGTCCTCAGGACTGCGGCCCTTGGCTCTGGGGGCCGGGGCGGCGGCCGGCAGTTCCCTCTCGGGGGGCGGTGTGCCCTGCTTGCCCTGGCTGGCCAGCATCTGTGCCCGGTTCCTGGTCATGCGCTGGGGAATCTCCTCGACGCGGGGCACCTTCGGGGCCTCTGGTGGTGGCTTTGGGGCGGGCTCTGTAGCTTCCGGCTGGATTCCGCCTGCGGGGGTTTCTGCCTGGGTTCGGCCAGTACTGTCGGGGAACCCAGCCCCATCGAGAGCCTGGGCCTCCTCATCAGCAGGGGGGCTGTCCAGAGCAGAGTGGGGTGCCACCTGTGGGTCCATGGCCTCTCCTCCCTCGTCCCTGTTCCCTGCTGGGTGGGGCTCAGTGGGCACCCCTGCGGGTGCTGGATCAGAGTCCTCAGGGCTCGTCTCTCCTGACACGTTTTCCACCTGCACCGCAGCATCCAGATGCGCTTCCGCCTGGGTCTGGTCTGTGGGCACAGGCTCGGCACAGAGCTGTGTGGAAGCCTGGTCGGGGGTGGGCTGCTCTTCAGCAGTGGAGGTGGGGAGGTCCCCCCCACTCATGACCGTGGGTGCCCCTGATGGGGCTTGTTCCAGGGGAGCAGCGGGACTCGTATCCATAGGTCCCGTGTCCACGTCTGAAACGTCTTTTGTTGGTAGCGGAAGTTCTGGCAGTGAGAAGGGTCCCAGGTCTAGATCATCTTCCGGGTTTGTGAAGGGATCTGGCCAGGGGACCGGCTCCTCTGGACCAAGGGCAGAGAGGCCAGGGTTGCTGTCCAGGTGGTAGTTGTCCAGGGGACCCAGGGCCTCCACCTGAGCTGCAGTGGCCACACACGCAGGCTCAGGGGGTACGTTGGGGGCCGTCTCCACAAGGGGCTTGCAGTTGCTGAAGAAGGCCTGCAGCCCCGAGGAAGGGCCATACGGGGCTGGCTCCTCTGAAGGCGAGACCCCCACTGGGACCCCTTCCACCATGTCCTCCTTGGCCTCTCTGAGTCCTGGTTCAGGGACCGACAAGGGGAATGCCAGAGGAGAGGCGGGGTACGGGGGCTCTGTGGCAATGAAGGGCACGGGCTCCGTGGGGCAGAAATGTTTGGGGGACTCAGGGAGTCTCTGAGGGGATTTCAGCAGTAGCTCCGCCCCCACAGGGGGCCAGCTAACAGGGTTCTCGGGGACTCCCCCGACCAGGGTGGTGAGGGAGTGCTCGGTAGCTGCAGGGTGCGCCCACTGGCCCGGGCTCTCCTCGGTGATGACCGTGTTGAATGGGCCCTCGTCGGACGGCTCCAGGTAGCTGGGCTCCGGGGGGATGATGGCGGCTGTGGCCTGCTGGTCCTCCGTGGCGTCGAGTGGGAGGCCCAAGTCTGGCGGCAGGGCCCCTTCCAGGGCAGGGGCCACCAGCTCATCCCTGTGGGAAGGCGGCGAAGACTTGGCATGTAAACTAGAGAAGATGCCCTCTGGGGACGGGGTGGTGTTGATGGCAGCGGCAGGTGCACAGGGCAGAGTCTCCCCTTTGGGCGAGGGCAGCCCATAGTCGGGGGAGTAATACCCAGGAGACAGGCAGGGGAATTTCTCAGGGGCGGCAGCCACTTTGTCCTCAAGCAGGTGCCGTGCTGGTGAGTCGTAGCTGGTGGTGGCAGGGACACTCTGCTGCCGGAAGAGCTTGTCCCCGACACTGACTTCCTCCTCGGGGGTCCTGCGTGTGTCCACGGACACTGAACGGTAGAGATTTGTGGGTAGAGTCCGCGTGGGGGTCTGGCTGGGGTTCTCGGGAAGACCGCTCAAGGCGGCAGAGAACCTGTCGAAGAAGGAAGGGGAACAGGTGCTGGCGGGTGTGCTGATGGGCTGGGGGTCGGCGCAGTCGAACATGAGGTCGGAGTAGTCGTCGGTGCTGCAGGACGGGGTGCGGGGGGTGTGCATCACCTCCTCATAGCTGGGACATGAGACCACAGAGGTAGGGGTGGGCACCCCGGTGGGCCGGCTCTGGTCTGGCCTGGGGGAGGCGGGCAACACCTCCTTCATCTGGGGTCCCACCAGCCAGTCCCTGGGCTCTGAGCCTGCTCCGGGGGGCCCTTTACTGTCGCCCACGGGCGTGGTCGGAGCCAAGGCCGTGGAGTCCTTAGGCTTCTTGTCTCGGAGCTGCGTGTCCAGCCCCAGTGGCTTTTTTGTGGGAAGCTCCAAGCTCTTCTTGCGCACGTCCTCTGCTGACTTGGTCTTGTCCTTGAGCTTCGGGTCCCCTGACCGGTGCCGCATCTTCTCCATCTGCTTCATGCGCTCCTTGTGGCGCTTGTGGCGCTCCTCGATCTCCAGGTCCTTCTGTGAGAGCATGCGCTCAAAGCTCGTCATCATCAAGTCCCCGTCCCCGAGCAGCTTCTCGCGGGGCCTGTGCTCCTTCCTGCTGGGCTCTCGGGGCGGCAGCAGCTTCTCGCTCCCGTTGCTCAGCTTGGCCGAGTCGCCCTTCTCCTGGCTCTCCTTGAACTTGTCTTTCAGCTTGGCCTCACCCAGCCGCAGACTCTCCTCCTTGGACTTGTCTTTGAAGTTGGTGTTGGGGGGATTGTCCTTGGGGTGCCGCTCCCGGTGTTTCTCCTTCTCGTCCCTCCACTTCTCTCTGTGTTTCTCTCGCTTCTTCTTCTCTCTCAGGACACTCAGGGCGCTGGAGCCGTATGGTTTTAATTCTTTCTCTATTTTCTTGGAAGGCTCTCTTTCAGAATCGTTTTTCTTTTCAGTTGAAAACAACTCCATAGTCTTCTCTAGCTCGTCTTCGATGTCGCCTTTCGTGTTACAGGACAGGCCATACGTGTCCCCGTCCAGGAAGTCCTTTTCGTACTGGCTGGAGTCCTTCCTACTGCCCGCCGTCTCCTTGTAGTCCTCGCTGCGGTCTTTCTTCTCTTTCCGCCCCCTTTCTCGGTCGTGGCTTTTCTTGGATGAGGATGAGGAGGAGTGTCTGTGCCTCTCTTTGAGCTTCTCCTGCAGGCACGAGCCCTCCCTGACCTTTTCCTCGGGGGGCTCTGAGAAGGACACCTCCAGCAGGGTGGCCGGTCCGGGCTCCTGGCCTCGGTCGGTGAAGCTGTCAGACGAGATCTCGCTGATTTTATCATTGGAGTCATCTCGGTACTCGTGGAGAGCTGCTTCCTCCAACTTTTCCAATAAGCTCTTTTCCATGTCGGCACTTTTGGAAGCCTTCCTCTCTTTGGAATGCTCCTTGTGCCGGCTTTTCACCTTGTCCTCAGCCGAGTGCTTCTTCTCCACCTTTTCACAGAGTCTCTGTTTGCTTTTCTTCTCCTGAGTGGAGTCAACTGAAGTTCGGTCCTTCCTGTCCTTACACTTTTCTATGGACTCTTTGTCCTTCTTCTCCTTGTGCTTGTCCGAGAGTTTCTCTCTCCTGTCTTTGCCCCCTTCGCTGACGCCTTTGTCCTTTTTTTTGTCCTTGGGTTCTTTATCTTTCTGCTTCTCTGAGGAATACTTGCGGTGCTCCTTCCCCTCCTCTCTGTCCTGTGGACCCTCCACCGCCTCCCCGAGTTTGAACCCGCTGGCAGCATACTCCTCTTTTTCATCTTCACTCTCATCTGTGAAGATGTCTGCGATATACCAGCTTTTCTCCTTGCCCCTTTTTTCATCTTTTTTTTCCGAGAAGTCTTCTGAGAGAATCCCAGGATAAGTCTTCTCCCTTTTCTCTTTAACTTGATCAAGGGAAGGTTTTCTTTCTTTGTCTTTGCTATGTGTATCTTTATGTTTGTCCTTCGTTTCTTTTTTCTCCTTAAAACATTTATCAAAGTCTTTGTCTTTCTGACTCTTTTCAAGGAGGGATTTTTCATTCTTGTCCTTGTCACCAGACTTGTCCTTGTATTTTTCTGCTTTTCCTTTCTCTTTTTTTTCCTTATCGAGACTGTCCTTCTTGTCTTTTTCTTTCACCGAATGGTGTCTTTCCCAGGACTCCAGACTTTTCACAAAGTCTGAGTCAGACTTGTCCTTGAAAAAACTGTCACAGCTGAACTCTTTGAGCTCCTCTCGGTAGGTCTCCTCAGGCCTTGGCCTAACTTCTTTCCTCTCCTTGGTGCTCTCGAAGGAGTCCTTTCTGTCCCTGCAGATGTCGCTTAGATCCTTGTCTTTCCGCTCCTTGGCTCCGTCCACAGACTCTTTCCTCCGCTTATCCTTCTCTGACAGGTAGCCGGGGAGACCTTTATGCTTCTCAGTTTGGTCTTTTCTCTTGTCGGCATTTTTATCCAGATAGTCCCTGTCTTTCTTCCGAAAGAAAGGGTCTCTGTCGCTGCGCCGCTCACCATGGTCCCTCCTGTCCCTGTTCTTGGCCTCCCGCCTCTTTTCCTTGGAGTCCTCTCTGGCCGTCCCCAGGATGAGCTTGGCCACGGACTCACTTTTCATCTCCCGGAAGTCGGGCACCGGAGAGTCCCAGCTGTCCTCCCCTCTTCTGAAGTCAAAGGATGAATCCGACAGGTCAGAAAACCACCGCTCCTGCTGCTCATCGGAGAGGCTGAACTTGGTGTCTTCATTCTCCAAAAACTGATTTTTATTACAATACTCGTCAAAAGCCGAATCGTCCCGGTACACTTTATCTTTTTTGAGTTTGTCTTCTTTAAAAGTCTTTTCCTTCTCTTTGGAAAGTTTGTCCTCTTTGAAATCATTCTTCTTCTCTAGTTTTGAGGGCCTGTCTTTGGACTTCTTCTTCCTTTCCTCTTTGTACAGCCTCAGCTTCTCCTCCTTTGGGGATTTCTCCTTCATGATTTTTTCCTTTTCTGACTTGTTGGTGCGATCTTTCTCTTCTCGGTAGCACTTAGCGACATCTTTACTCAGATCTTTGATTCTCTTGAGTGATTTCTCATCTTTGGAGACCTTTATTAGTTCATCTTTAAATAACCATTCTTTGTCTTCTGACTTCATTTTGCTTAGTTTCTCTTCTTTCTTGAAATGGTCTCGCTCATGCTTTAATGCCTTCAGCTTGTTCTCAGTGGGAAGATCGTGGTCTAGAAGGATGGCCTTGTCGGACTTTTGCTTGGAGTCCTCATACTCGTAGGTAAAACTTTTCAGTTTCACTTCCTGGCTGACCGAACACTGTCCTTTCTCCTTGTTTTTGTGTTTATGCTTTGTTTTGTGTTTTTTGATGACCTTCCCCTCCTTGTCCAGCTTTGGGATGGCACCATCCACGCTGGCGTGAAACATGCTCTTCTTCTCAGAGAAGGCGCCCTTCCTGTGTTCCCGCTTCTTCCGCACAGGTTTCAGGGACTCCAGGCTGGAGGCCTCCGAGGAGCACTCGGACTCACTCGTCAGCCGCGTCCTCGTGGAGTCGGACAGAGAGCTGACCTCTGACCAAGCGGGAGAGGAGATGCTTTTCCAATTGTCTGTCCTCCAGTGCCTGGTGTGCTGTTCGTTGTGGCTGGGGTTATGCTTCTGGGAGGCTGTGCTGCCATGGGAGGAGGTGGAGGAGGCGGAGAGGGAGCTGAACAGAGAGGGCTCCTTCAGCACTAGTGGGGAGCCCTGGGCGCAGCCAGAGCTGCCAACGGAGCCATCGTCCTCATCGCTGCCCAGGGGCTCGCTCTCAGACTCGGAGGAACAGAACTTGTCGCTCCTTTTCCCAAACCGCACTTCTTTGCCTTTTGTTTCTTTCTTTCGCTTCTTTTTCACTTTATTTTTTTCTTTCTGTTGCTTAGAACTAGAAGACTCTCGTGTTTTATTACTGGGCAGCATTGTGTGTGCCGACAATCTCAGTTTTTCTCCTGTCCCCACGGTGACGCTCACTTCCTCTTCATCTGACGTGTCTGACAAGATGCGATGTGCAGCTTTCTTTGGTGCAATTGTGTTGTTTTTAGTGTAACTTTTAACTTCCATTTTGGGTATAGAAATAAAGCTGTTGGACTTAGTCTCTTTCCTGTAATCCTTTTTTAACAAGTGCTTATCGTCCACAGGAGGGACCCTGTCTTGCTCGTCATCCTCGTCAAACTCGTACTCGTCCTTGACGGGGGTCACCGTTTTCTGGGGCTCTGGGTTCTTGGCCTTGTGCTTTAGGCCCTTTTCAAATTCAGAGTCTGTGTTATTACCATCCACCGAACTGGATGGGGCAAATGAAGGTGCGTCTTCCTCCTCTGAGCTTTCTGCTGGGGAGAGGGGAGAAGTGTCAGAAGGCATCTCAGAACAACACCCCCAAAACTCAGGCCCTGTGCAAACTGCTCCCCTTGGGCCTCTGGAGAAGCAGTGGACAGAAGTCCAAGGCTGACCACCAGCAGAGGAAACCAAACGGAGCGTTTGCTGAGAGACAGTGTTCCCTGAGCCCAGACGTTCCTGTGAGCGCCCAGTGTCCAAGGAGGCTCTCTGCCCTGACACCCTCGTTCCTGGGCCTCACCGGTGGAACTTTCTTCGCTGGATGTGTACGTGCCCTTGCCCAGCAGAAGGTTCACCATGGTTGGGGAATTGGCAACTTTCAACGGGGTTTCTCCTTTCCTGTTGCTTTGCTGAGGGTTCCCTCCATAGCGTAACAACAACTTCACCACCTGCAGAAGGGACAGCTCGTTAGAAGCTCTGAAACGCCCACCCGCTGAGTGAGGCCACCCAGGCTCTAGGGTTCTGGTCCTCCCGGAAAGAGGCCCCGTTCCTCGCAGTCCTTCCTTCACTCCTCCGAATGCTCTCACAGTGCGCCCTGAGAGGAAACATTACGGGGCTCGTCTTCACCCCGAACAGCCCTTTTGGAGGCCTGGGAAAGTCTGCTTTCCTGCTGCTTTTGGGCAGAGCCCCCCCATCTCCTGCTGCCTGTTGGCCTAAGGCCCTTTGCACCACTTAGGGCCTATATAGCTGACTCTGCCTCATACTCTGACCCCTGGGAGATACCCTGTGACCACACGGGCCACCATCTTCAGGGGCCTACTAAACTGCCCGTTTAGGGGGACGTTCTGTTGATCCGGTCATGTTCGTGGAAGTTTAGAGAATTAGGGCATGACCCCTCCCTGTGTAACCCCTCTAGGTGCCAGCTCATAACCAGTCTCTCCCGTCACCAACACCTGTGCACCACATCGTGTCCTGAATTCCTTAGTACCAAATCATGCAGGTGGCCCAGAGCTCACCTCTGACTGGCCCCCTCTCCCCTGCCTATGTTGCCTCACAGGACGAGAGGCGTTGGGCACATTCCCAGCTGGGGGACCCAGACCCCACCTTGTAGTGTCCGTTGTTGGCTGCATCATGCAGGGGCGTGTCATCATCCAGGCCTTTTGTGTTCACCTCGGCGCCTGCTGCCAGAAGCTGCTTTGCGACGTCGTAGTAGCCGCGGTTACAGGCCTCGTGCAGAGCTGTCCAGCCTGGAGACAGACAGCCATGACACATGCTGCTTGAGCCCAGGGCACCCTCCCAAAAGGTCTGGGGGATGGAGCACCCATGAGCCGTGGCAGCCACGCCTGGGTCACACAACAGAGAGCAAAGTGTCTAGAAGGAGACCGCCTCACATACCCCCTTCTCTGGAGACAGGGGCCCCGGCTGAGCTCCAGTAACGGGGCCCTAACAATGACCGGGACATTTCTGCTCTAGGTGTTCTAGCTGATGTCCTTTTGTGAGGGGTGATGTATGTGGTCTGTTTGAGAGGGCCTGAGACACCCTCGAAGTCACTTCTCATGTGGAATGAGTTGTCCCAATTGTCTTGAAAATAACGAATATTAAGAAAACAATCTTACTTTGAAACTCTTTCCAAGAAACACCATCAAAGTAGGTGCACTGAGCCCCAGGCTGAACAACGCGCCCCCCCCCCCCCCCAGGCTGTGCTGCCCCACTGAAGCCAGCCCTATAGCTGGCTCGTGTGCACCAGGACCCTGGGCCCTTGACTCTGGTCCCCCTAGCTGGCAAACAGTACCTGCGAAGTCCTTGACATTAACGTCCGCGCCTTCACTGATGAGCTCCTTGATGCGCCTGGCGTCCCCTCGGATGGCAGCCCGGTGCAGGCGCGTCTCCCCGCGCTCGTTTCTCTTGTTCACTTTATCTTTGGTTTTTGAGGCAGAGTTGGGCGTCCCCTTCTGACACACTGCAGACTGGGCGGGGTGCTTTGGTGTCGTGTCTACTGCAGAACAAGGGCAGGGCAGAGCGTCAACAGCCATGGGGGAATCTCCAGGGGTCCACCCTCTCCCTGTCCAGGGCCACCCTGTCGGCTCACCTGGGCTGTTTGCAGACTCCTCGGCGGTCATCTGCATGAGGAGGGCCACCTGCTGGCGCTCGGAGAGGGGGTAGCCAGCTCGGATCCCAGAAAGGCCCATGCCGAACAACAGGCCGGCCTTGCGCGTGGCGGGCTCCTTCTTGACTCTCTTGCGCTCGGGGCCCTGCTTTTCTGTGAGGCAGGGAGAAGGAGACACGTCATGGCTTTCTCTCAGCAGGCTGACTGACGGCTGACGGACGGAGAGCCAGGCCAGGAGCGCTCAAGCTCCCATTGCCCCTCTCAACATGGAGACTGTGAGACCAGCTTCCTGCCAGCTCTGCCCATTCCAGGACTCTCCCAAGCCCCAGACGATGGCCATACACAGCAGCCAGGCTGGGCAGCTGGGGTCAGCACCGACTGACACCAGGTTCCTAGACAGAGGTGTCTAGAGTCACATTCCACACCCCCTACACCTCCCTCCGACAAGCAGTGCAAATTATAAACCGACAAAAATTGTTTAACGTAAGCCAAGGCCCACGCGTCGGTACTGTACCTTTCTTCTTGCTTCTAGGAGCCTCCATTTCATGCCATGGTGCTTGGAGGGGCGCACCGGCCTGGTACTGCCGCAACATGGACTGAACTGGAGGCATCTAAAAGCATCAACACAGAGCACTAACGAGAGGCGCAGGGCAGCCGGCTACTTCCCGTGAGTTCGCCCTCCTCTCTGAGCTGCCAGCACAGTGCCCAACAGGGACACTGACAGAGCCCTAGCCGGTGGCACCTGCCAATGGAAAAGGTCTGACAGATGCGGATGTCTCCGCTCCACCCAGGCCACGGGGTTGAGAATCCAAGGCATCCATCAGGGTCACAAAGGGTATTTAAAGCTCCTTAAATGCAGAAACTCTTGCTTTTCTGGCCAGCCCATTCCTATAGCCGTGTGACAGTTCCCTCCCAAGTGGCTATCACTAGATGACTCACTGTCTGAGGGGGGCTTTGGCTCAGCTCAACACAGCATGAATTTGACTGGATGAAGTCACAATGTTTGTAAGAGTCAGACAGCCCCAGACCCGCCAGGGGCAAGGTGCCCCCCACAGGTGGACGCTTACTTGGCATGTTGGGGCCAACTGCTTCTGCTCTTCCCCCATCCATGTTTTACTACAGTTGAAAAGCACACACCAGGATGCAGTGGAAGCACCCTAAATCGCCTTTTAAATTTCAGTTTCAGAGCCTGAAATTCTGTGCAAGGTCTAGTGAAAACTCCTAAGAGAGGCCCCAATCCTCCCAGAGAGGCTCTGTATTGTCCATGATGAGACTCGGCTCCAGACCTTCTGGAGGAGGTCTGCAGCATGTTTCTGACGGTAACAGTTTCCAAAAGCAAGCCCTCCCAGAGACAAAACTGCCAGAATTCTGTCAAGCTGGTATCTGAGGTGGAAACACAACACCCAGCACTGGGCAGCAGCCTGTCTGGAAAGGAGGACTCGGTCTCTAGTAAATTAAAAGTGTTAAGGAGATCAAAATGCCATCCCATCAGGGAGAGTTGAACCCTAGTAAATAGAGGGGTATGTGAGTCCACTCTGGTTGTGAAACAGTAGTTGCCATGAAGTTGGTTCCAACTCAGAGCAACCCTGAATAGGGTTTTCGAGGACTGGCTGCTGAGTTTGAGCCACTGACCTACTGTGGCACCCACCCACTCTAGCCTCAAACAAAAGCTGCACAGCCAAAACCACTGATCCGCAAACAACAGCCTCTTCAACACAGTGCTCACACACAGGCAAAGCATGACGCTCACACCACAGTGGTTGCTGCTAAGTGCTGTAGAGTTGGGTCCAACTCCTCATGATCCCATATAGGGTTAGTGAGGAGCATCTGGTGCATTTGAACTGCAGACCTGTGACCCAGTACTTTATCCTACAGCACCATACCAGGACTCCCTCACACCACACATGACAGGTATCCAAAATGGATCACGAGCCGGAACGGAGAAATGCTTTAAAAACCCCTAAACCTCTGAACCTCTGATTTAGTGATGGATTCTTCTTAGGAGATAAGACACTGGCTGCAGGCACTGTCTTAGGGAAAGCTCAGCAGAAGGGCTGGGTCACCAGGGGCCTCTCTCAGCCCAAGTCCACTGAGGGGCTACAGGGGTGGTTGGGCTTCGCAGTTGGGAACCTACCTAGCTAGCATTTCTTTGGGAGAAGACTGGAGCAGCAAGCAGTTCCACTCGGCGCTGCAATTGTTGGTAAGGGCCGTCAAGTTGGTTCCAACTCGTATTGACCCTATGTAGGCAGGATTTCTGAGTTGTGGCTGGTGAGTGTGGTTTAAACCGACCCTGCGGTCTAGTATTTACCTAAAGCCCCATGCCAGGATGCTCTCCTTTGGGGACACAGGACATGTGCTGTTAGCCCGGCCACATGCCCCTTTCTTTGCATCAGTCTACGTGATGTCTTCACCTATATGTCGAGGTCACTGAAGCCCCTCCTCTGTGTCTGAGCCCCTGGATATGCCCATGTCCCTCCCAGTAACCAGCATGCTCTCCGTCTGAAATACCTACAGGGCCTTCTTGCTCTTTGTTAGGACATCTTACTCAGAAACTGGAACTGTCTCTTGGGGTTCAAAAGATACATTTCCTTGTGGTAGATGGTTCTTGCTGGCTCTCATGATGTGGTGTCTGGAAGCCAGGTTGAAGGGCTTTATCAAAGCCCATTACTTCTTCAACTTGATGTTTCCAGTAGCCTCAGGCCAATTTCATGGAGGGGAGGCATGGGTTATAATCTCTGGAAGTAACTCACAGCGCCTCAACCCTCCCCCCACATCTGGCTGGTGGACCATTTCTTCTTGCCAAACACCTCCTGGGGTGCAGCTCCCTTGAGGTGACGGACTTAGGTATTGGGTATTTTAGCCTTAGCGTTTCTGCCTTATGGTGGGCCTGGCTTCTCCAATGCCCTCAACAGTGTTTGAACCACACTTCTCTGGACATTCCATAAGGCCTGTGAAACTCAGCCTGTCATTGTTGAAGATGACTTGTATGTGTTTTGTCACTGATCATACCTGATTTGGGGGCTTTTCGATGCCATATTGTCCAAATAGGAAAATCTAACTCCTACATCTTTGTAAAACAAAACCCTAAAGGAGTGTTTTAATGTCAATATTTCAAAATGTTGTTAAGTGCCTTTGAGTCAGTTCAGACTTACAGCAACCCTGTATTGGGATTTCCAAGGAGCAGGTGGTAGGTTTGAACTGCCGACCTTGAGATTCCAAGTACAGTGCTTGCTCATCTTATAGTGTCATAACCGGAAGTCTAGTATTTCAAAAAGTTGGTAATTTATTGCACCTATCAGTAAGGAGCTCTGGTAGCATAGTGGTTATGAATCGGGCTGCTAATCGCGAGGAAAGCAGTTCAAAACTACCAGCTGCTCTGCGGGAGAAAGATGAGGCTTTCCGCTTCCGTAAAGATTTACAGCCGTGGAAACCCTGTACAGGGTCGCTATGAGTCGGAACCAACTCGACAGCACACACCAACAACAAATCAGTTCTGGATACTAACATGAAGCAGAACAGATGACATTAGCCACTCTGTTTTCTTCAGCATCAAAACCACGCTCTTCAACTACATGGCTGCTGAGATGCCCTTCGACAGAGCTCTCACCAAGAACCTCAGACACAGGTTGCGTCCCTCCAGGAGGCAAAGTAGGGGATCACTTGACCCTCTAGTGCACCTCACCTTCAGCGGCAATAAAGTGGAGACTTTTCCCACTGCCCCAGTCATCTGTGCAGTAGTCTTTTTCCATTTTCTCACTTATGTAAAAGGAAAGGGAAAATCCTAGACCTGCCCCTCCCTGGCCCTTGAGCTCTCTGGTCACCCTCACCCTACTCTGTGGGCGTTACGGCCTCTATGTCTGAACGACAGGCTCAGAACACCAGGTGGCAGGACTGCAGCAGCGCTAAATAAGCAGGAAACCAGAGCACAAGGAAGGGTTGTCACATGATGGGCTCGGGCCACAGGCAACCAAGAGCAGCAACCCAGCCACAGCCACTGTCACTCCCTCAGCTGGTGCTGGGCCCCTTCCAGACCCCTAGGAGTCACTGTGAGCAAGACTGTGCCACGGGTTGGGGCGCACACACATCCTGCCCTGATGGGGTGGCCCCTGGCACCTCAGAGTTTGGGAGGAGAATGCTGAGAGTGATGGCGCCCTGGGGAGGGATTTGGGGACACCTGCACGGTGTGCATTCATAGTATTTCTCCCTGGTGATGTGTGAGGTGTTGGCTCACGTTCGTGAGCACGGTTCTGACGTGTTACCGGGCCAGGGGCTGTCTTGATTTCAGTAAACCTGTCATACGCAGTGTTCGTGTCTTGGCATTCAAATACCAGGAACAAGCACTATGTTCACAAGGTGAAAGCGACTTTCAGAAAAACTGGGAGTTTCTCCTTATTCCAAAGAAGGGAGGCTGCCAGCAATCACTTCCTCTCCGCGAGTCACATGCCGCTGGGGGAGAGCGAGCAGGGATCCCCCAGGTCCAGACATGAAGGGCCAAGATGAAAATTCCCATCAGTCAGGGAGCCAGGCAGGGACCAACAAGACGCCTAATGTACTGCATTCTTTAAACAGAGGAGCAGTAGAGCTGGCAATGATATAGACGAGAGATTGTGAATCTCCACTGGAGGAGTGACTTGGGGGTGGTGATTTGTTTCATACTGGACAGACGGCCCGGAGTGTCCACTAGTGCCCACTGATTCTGGCGAGTGGACAGTCGATTTCCATGAGCATACACAGGGCAGATGAGTTGGATGCTGGGCATTCCCATTCATGCAGCAGAGGTGAGTCCAGTGCAGGGTCCTACTGATGGAGGCAAGCAGCTTCAGAGGAACACTGGCACATCTGCTCACCTTCCAGACACCTGGGCTCCAATATCTCTTCTGGTTGGCTCTGGGGGTTAACCCAGTGCAATACCAAGTGTTCTCAGCAGAGGGTGCTGAAGCAGCATGTCAGAGGAAGGGGCTCCGTGAAGAAGCCAGCACAAGCTCTGAGCCTTCTGCAGCCAGGGAATCAGGGCCTCCTTCTACACTACCTCTGGCCCTATGGCTAAATCCCACCTTCTCCACCTCTAACACCCTACCTTCTGAGTTGTCCCTCAGCCAGGGAACCACGATTTCACCCATCTCCCGACAGCTCAGGGCCTGTCTGTTCTGCACAGGGTCAGCCGTGACTCCAGCCACACTTGATGGCCCAATGTGGGTTGTCTCACCCCTATATTAAGTTGAATGGCTTCATGCCATCAGCTCCAGATTACAATCTGAGCAAGAAGTGAAGGTGGACAACTGGACTCATAAACAACTCCATGGAAAGACAGAAGGACAATGTCAAGGATCTCATTTCTACAGTCAGTGCTCATGGAAGTAACAGTCCATAAGTCAGACAACCTACTGCATTGTGAAAATCAACAGGAAAGACCTCAAAAATGGCAAAAAGCACAGTTGTTCTAAAGTCACTTCATTGCATGCAGAAGCTGGACAATGAGAACAGAATGCAGAACTGATTATTGGTGAAGGGTGTGTCTATCTAAGAAGAAAAAATAACCGGAATGATGATGGAGAGATTGCGTCTTGCTTACCTACCTTAGATGTGTGTCATCAACAAAGACCAGTTAATTGGTGGGAAAGGACATCACAATGAACTCTAATGTTACACACCTCAGGTCACCAAGACTCAGAGGCAAAAACAACCAAAAAGCAGCCAAACACCAGCCTGTGTGTGGAAGCAGCCTGCCACCTGACAGAAGGGGTCTGGATTAGAAGTCATCTCAGGAACAAAACACCTTTAGCCTGAGAGACTCTTGCTTACACAAGACACTTGTGTTTGGTACAAATGGTTCACGCTGGCTCGCAACTTAATTATCCCCAAGAACCCCTTCTGGTGTAGTTTGCTCTGTAAACTACAAAGGCTTCCATTGGGTTGGAGTCAACTAGATAACAACAGGTTGGAACAAGCAATGATAACCTTGCTGGAAAGTCTGACAACTAGAACCGGGCCGACATAACATTTCCTTGTACCCTTCACTACTGTCTCCGTTCAGCAGCACTCCCTCTTGGCCTCACTGAGAATGCAGAGGAGTCATGTGATTCAGATTAGCTCGGTAACAAGGTCTTCCCCAGGAACAGACCCACAGCAGTTCACAGAGGCTTTGGAAGAAGGCCCCTTAAGGTCTTCAAGTCAGGTCAAGAGGGATTTGCAAGCGCTCAGCCCGCAGCAGACCCCTGTCCTGAGACAGCATTAGTCTCCCCAGCCCAGGACAGTGCACACTGACTGGGGGGCACCCGGCCTCATGATATTTACAGAAGCAGATTGCCTGGGCTTCTCCCCGAGAGTTGCTAGTGGTTTCAAGCTGTCAACCTTTTGGTCAACAGGGGACATCAACCTCCCCTCCTACCCCCCACCCCCCAATTACAATTCCTTTTAACTAGATAGTCAACTTAAGCATCACAACCAGGAGTAAGGCGGCTCTGAGCCAACCACTGTCTACTCTCCCTTCCGTCTCCTCAGAGGAACATCTTGGCCCAGCAGCCAAGCACACCATGCTCCAGGACCAGAGCAACCAGTGAGTAAACATGGACCTTCTAGGAGGATGTTGAGCATCGCCGCCGTTGGCGCCCCGTGCTTCACCATCCGGCCCGCACTCTCTTTCCTGGAATCACTGGGTCCAGATGCTGTGGCTGCTGCTTCTCATCCCCTGATTCCCCGCAGTTTTCCCATACTGCGATCGGCCGCCTTCCCGTCTGCTGTGTACCAACACACTGCCATGGCCTCTAGCCTGGTCCTGGGTGGCCATACGATGTCTGAGGACCAGGCAACAAGATAGGGCAGCCCATGGACCCTCGGCAAAGTTCATGGGAAAGCATCCGCCACCCACAGGAGGTGGGCACATCTCACACAGCAGGTGAGGACCCCTGTTCTGGGCTTACTGTCTCATAAATTCATGTTACGGATTAAGGAACCGTGAGCTGGGAGCTTCTACTGGGTGGGTACTCAGCCCCACTGTTGCACTGGACCAGCACAGGTGGGTTCCCTGGCATGCTGGGGGCATTTCCCACATCTCTAGTCTTCCCCCTCACTGTATGTGTGGGAAATTCCGACTGTGATGGGCCATGCCCGAAGGGGAGAAGGTGCAGGAAGCCTTGAGGAGAAGGATGTGACAGTGGCAAAGATAACAAAAAGGTCAAAGGAGCAGTTAGGGGCAGCTTGACACGATTGGGCAGCCACCAGGACTGTCCCAGTGGCTCAGCGTCTCCTACCTGTGTCCGAGTCCTTCTGCTCTCCATTGGCGCTGACAGTGAAGGGCAGCTTGCGCTTGGTGGTGCGCTCTCTCACTTCCTTCCCTCCATCACTTCGGTCCAGTTTTGGGGTCTTGGTTAGAGAAACTTTATCTTTATCCTGAAAAGAAAGTGCAGCTTCAGACAGGATTCCCAGGGTAAATTCTCAGCAAAACAGCCGCTCTTGGCCTCACAGCCTGGCCACACTGCTCCTTGAGGATCTCGGGACATGACCGACAACTAATAGTGCCTACAAGATGGGGGAGAGACCGCACCCACAATGAGCTGAGGCCGCAAGGCACAGGGTCCAGTGCTGTCTGGGAAGGTGACGCATCACAGCCCACAGCTTCTCGCCGTGGGCTCAGACACACCAGCCCACAGCTTCACTGCTCAGTTCACCCACTTTTGGGCAGGCTTTCTGTCCTGCCTGCTTGGGGGGGATCATGGCTTTTTTCCTCATCAGTAAGCCTTCTTTTCTTGAGTGTTCTCCAGGTAAACTGGTATGTAACACAGCTCCGATCACTTTCCTGTGCCGACCTGGCAGTGTCTCCTTGCACACATGGCCAGATCTTGCTGGCTGGGGTCAGAGGCTGTTTGGGCACACTGCCATCACCTGTGACCACATCAGCAGAACCCCAGGCATGGCTTGACCACCAATCAGCTGGGGACATCATCAGCCTCCAGAGGTGCCCATTTGATCCCAACAGATTCTCCAGGTAGTCCAGTTAACAAGGTGTGTGCCAAACCTGTTGTTTAGAAGTGCCGGTGGTTATAAGTATCTCAGTGCTTCTTTGACAGCACTACACTGGCAGTCTTTAAAAAGAAAACTTTGGAGAACTGTGTTAAAGGTAATAAAATATTTTGCGTTTACATGTTCACAAACTTCTAGGAATTGTTGAAAAAGCACAGCTCATCAATTCTGGAAAAGTCATCAATAGACCGCTCTGAAGTCATTTTAAAAATACTGACACAGGCAACCATGAGGATAAACTTCACAAATATGAGGTGGATGAAAGGATTACACTCGTCCACCTGCATGAAACACGAGGTGCCGGTTGTGTTGTGTGTCTCAATGTAAGAATGCATAGTGAGCCTGGGAAAGGACGGAGCCCAGTCCATTTTCAGAGGAGACTTCACAGTACAGGCTACTTGGCTGTGTGGTGACAACTGCATCGATCCTGACCTGCGAGGCTCACAGGACATCTTCAGTCAGAGAAACCAACCTGCAACAGCAGGTACTTGGGCACAGAGCACACCTCTATCCTAGGCTCATCCAGACAGTAACGGAGACCTCCAGAACAAGGGGTCTGCCGATCAGAATGGTGTTCATTTGGGAGCCCCTCCCCTTCCAGTGGCATGTGTCTGACTTGACTTCAGGTCCTAATACAAGACAGAAAGAGCAGGGCCGCCAGGGAACCCGAGTGCACAGTTTTCGGTGCAGATGAGAAGGTTAGTCTTTCCTACTATAGAGCGCTTCATTAGTTCTCAGATCACACAGAATCTAAAATTAACATGCTTTCATTCCAACCCAGTCATGGCTGCATGGAGCAGAAGAGAATGAGCACAGTTTCGTGACTGTTCAGACACGGACAGCTGCTGACCTCTGCTTTGCTCCCCTCCAGAGACATGCACCTACCAGCTTCGACACAAAAGGATCTGCTGATCATTTTGAAATGGGACTACATTTTTTTTTTTTCCTTACATGTTTTATTGTGAAATATGTGAGAGTTTACACGGGAGAACATTAGTTTTACGGAGACTACATTTTTTGAAGGAGAATAGGAACTTATCAACTCCACGTTATTGTCATATTTCTGGTAGCACTACCAAAGCTCATCTCAAAACACACCCTGCATTCAAAATCCACGTGGGGCAGGCATTCTAGTGCATCCACTCCAAGCTCATGTCAAACCCCGCTTCTGCTGCCCACTGGGATGCATTGTGTGGCTGATGTCAGACGTTTGGAGCCTCCTGCTGAAGGCAGCTTAGGGGAAGCGGGACCCTTTCTGAAGACACTGGGAAACTACCAACAATCGGGAACTGAGGGCCCTGGAGAGAGAAGACTGACTGCAGTTTCTGCTCCTTGTGTGGAGGACGGAAGAGAATCAAGGCAGCCTTGTGAATGGGCTACACAAATAGGCAGCCTTGTGAACGGACTACATCACAAAACCCAGCCAAGAAATCTAGTTGGAGTAAAATTCTGGCAGAGAATTCAGCACTCACGATTCTTCCTAACAGAATTTGCCCATCCATGACAGAAAAGTGGGCCTAGATGGGGGTTCCCTTCATCCAATAAAGGTTACCTACCCAAGAAATCTGCTAGTATCAGCTGGTTTTCTTCACATTTTATTGGGGGAAATGTCAAGCATACACGGTAAAAGCCTACAGTCAACACTGGTTCTCCAATTCGTGTTTTCTGCGGTTTGCTTGATCACACTTTCTCTCCACCTATACATCCACCCTTCCAAGTAAACAACAAACATAAGCCATTTCACCCGTAAACATCATGCATGTGCCATCCTGAGAATTGACTATTTGTTGCCTGTGAAAGCCACATTCTATCTGATGAAATGAACATTTTGTTCTATGAGCTGGTGTTGGGAAGTACATGCACCTGTGAGATGCAGATGGCCGCTCTCAACTGGTCTCAGCACCCCTTTACTCATAAACTTGGCCAGACACATCACTTTTTTATCAACTGAGAATTTATATTACACTGGAACTTTAAAATGAAAATTAATTTATTTTATCACAAACACCTTTTAGCAATCAGAGAAGTGTTGCTTTGCGTCTCTGCCAATTATTCAATAGTATAACCAGACCGAGGATAGCTGGAGTATCAGATCTGACAGTCTTTTTGCTGCATTCGGCTGTCCTGACTAATGTACAGGCAGCAAATCTGGCCTCACACAGACTAGTGGTTGAAAAAGGGAGTGTGATCCCTTAACATCATGTGCTTGATCATTTGTCAAATATTGACTCCCAAGTGTTAACAAAAATCAAACATCATTATCAACATGGATTTCATCAGGAAAGTTTTCAGTTCTTAAATATGGGGAGAACTTGATATTCAGTTGAGACACATAAAATTCTCCAACACTGCAAATCTTTTGAAACTTACAAGGGGGGGCGGGGGCTATCTTTTTAAAGAAGTGACAGGATCACTTCACACATTTGGCGAAAGTGTCTGCTGATAGAAAATGTCTCTGAACAAGCAATGTTTGTCTGAAAGATGCTCTTTCAGGCTCAGAACTCCCACAGCTGCACAAATGTGCAGAGCCACAGTCTCTTCTGACCTGTAGCGGAAGCGTTTCCGTGCAGCTCCCTGTTTGTCAGAGAGTGTCAAAAAGAAGTGCTTCCAACATACCCTCATGAGGCCTTACGCGGGCTAGCAGAGGTCTCGGGGTAGGTGGAGAGGCTGTTTCAGTCCCTGTCCTGCAGGTCCACCTCGTTCTCACTGGACTTCTACCTAAGCAAGATGCAGTGTTACAATCCTTGCTTCTAAAGAGCATCGGGATTCTTTGCCAGGACTACAATTCCAATGTGCCCGTTATTCTTGGTATTTTTTATTGTCCACTTTCACATGAATATGAAATAAATGAAATACCATGCATGCCTTGTCGATTATAAGAACCTATTTGACTCTGTGGTTCAGAATAAGTTAACATTGTACAAAATGGGAATTGCAGAACACTTCATTGTACTCATGCAGAGGCTGTACGGGGTTTCAAGTTGTAAAAGACACATGTCACAGCTGTACCCGTTCACCAATACTCCTGACCATCCTGATACTGAGCAAATCATCTGAGAAGATGGACTACATGAAGAAAGCAGCATCAGGACCCGAAAAGACTTGTGAGATGAGGTATGCAGATGACACAACCCTGCTCGCTTTGAAGCCCTTAACTGATGAAGGCAAAAGACGGTCTTCATTATATATAGTTTACATCGAAGCATTAAAACGAAAACAAACCAGACCAATAAACCACCATGATCAGTGACAAAAAAAAAAAATTGAAGTTGTCAAGGATTTCATTTTACTTAGATCCACAACCAACAACCAAAGAATTAAAGTGTTAGAAGAGCAAAGGTGTCACAGGTGAATACAGTGCATGGAACAACCCAGGTCCAACAGAAAACTCAAGTTGTTTGGTCTCTCTTAACGTCTAATTGGAAAGAGTTGTACCCTGAGCATTTCTACTCCTCTGAGTAACTTCCTAATAAACACCCTAACCGAGAGTATGCTGTCTGAGTGCTAACCTGACAACTCCAGCTGGGCAGTAGAAAGCACTATGGGAAGGACAGGCTTGGTGCCCATTTGCCCATTTGCACCAGACCCAAGCCATGGCATAATTAGTCACCTCATATGCACGCCCACTTACACATGATGCTGAGCCACAGGCTCCCTTTGGGAGATGTGAGGCCCTGTTGCTGTGTGCTGACTGGTAGGGCCACCCGAGGAAGACTGCATGGGTGAAGGTGACTTTCATTGGTCATAAGTGCCACAGGTTTCCAAACTGTGAGCATTTGTATCTCGGGGAAAATTTCTCACCTGCACTGCCTGCTCAAGATCCAAGACAGTTCAAGAAAACACATGCCTTGTACCCGGAGTAATTAGGGGCTTGACTCTGAGCTCTGTGAATGGCTAGGTACATGGCCAACAAGGCCTCCTGGACTGTGTCTGAACGCTTCCCTATCCTCACCAGTGAAGTCAGCATCACAGAACATTCTCCAAATGAGCACCTATTTGTCAGACCCTGAAATCCTACAAAAATCAGTCTTCCCCACACACCAGTGAGGGACTCACAATGAGCCATCTACAGCCCAGGAGAGGGAGGAGTATAGCTCAACTCCCCCCCACCCACCCCCACATGTGAGGAAGGCAGCACACAGGAGAAAAGAAAAGTTGTCCTGAAAATGGCCACAGTCTAATTGACCCACCGACCCTGGTACTACATTAACTACATTTACCTGATCTGAAGCTATGATTTATTGATGGCCAAGGCATCTCCAAGGAATTTTGGTAGCGTAGTGGTTACGAATCAGGCTACGAACCTTAAGGTCAGCAGTTCAAAACTTTCAGCTGTTTCACGGGAGAAAGATGGGGCTTTCTGCTCCCAT